GCATTTAGAAAAACCTACTGACCTGAAAGTATTCTGTAACTGGCTTGAAAATCAGTGTTCCATTATGAGTATTTATTTTCGTCCACCCGAGGAGACAACGCGGAAGAGAAGTGACCCTAAACCAGTTTTTACTAATTCGCCCAATGAAAACGTTTGCATGTTTTGCTCGGAGAGTCATGAAACCGATAAATGTAAGCTTTTTAGAAAAGCAGAAGTCTCGCAGCGGTGGAAGATGATAATTGAGAAAAAACTGTGTTTCTTTTGCTTTCGTCGTCACCACATCAAATTTTGCAATTTAAAGAAACCTTGTGGAATCAATGGGTGCAAACTATCCCACCATCGCCTTCTGCATACTAACAGTGCCACTAAAAATGCCCAAGAGATCAGCTGGGACAGAGTACAGAACACTTTCAGGCAGGAAGGTAAATCAAAAGAAGAATTTATAAGCAATCACTCGGTAAATAACCGTGTTTTACTAAGAGTATGTCCAGTGACATTATATGGTCCAAGCTGTCAGATCGACACATATGCACTTTTAGATGACGGTTCAACTATATCTCTACTAGATTCAACTACAGCCAATAAATTAGGCGTCAGTGGTAGCATTGAACCCCTTACCACTTGTTGGTCAAATGCAACTAAACATTTTGACCCAACGTCCAGACGAGTTGAACTTAAAATAAAAGGGCTCTATGAAGACGAAGTTTTCACATTGACTAATGTAAGAACTCAATTTCCCTTAGATTTACCCCAACAGTCGATCGATTCAGTAAAGCTTCGTGAGACATGGTCTCATTTAAATTCAATCGACCAACCTCTACCAACATCTCATGCCAAACCTACCATCTTGATTGGTCAAGATAATTGCAACCTAATATTGACAAGGAAAGTTGTGGAAGGGCTTCCTAACTCGCCAGTTTTATCCTGGAGTTACTTAGGCTGGTCGTTGCATGGAAAATGTCCAGGATACAGTGGAGGACGTATCGATGACAACTTTGCTCTGACATGTTTTAAATATGATAAATTGTACAAAACAGCAGAGGAATTATTTGAGATTGACAACTACGGTGCAGAAAACATCTCCCAAGAGGAAAGGACTCGAAACAAAGATATGAAAATCAAAACAGCACATTTAAACAGGGATCCAATAAAAGAAAAAGCGTTAGAGAAGGAATGCCAACCCCTGGAAGCTAAGAATATGATTCAAGACTCTGAGAAACATTCTGACATTCTCACCAGTGTCCAGACAGTCCGAGTGGTTGGAGAGAAAACGGATGAGCTGATAGAAAATTCCAAAGTACTTGAAGTCTTGAAGGAAGCCATGCTGGAATCCAGTGTCAAAATCAAGAACAAGATCTTTGCGGTAACTGGCAAAAGGAAGAATGTGAAAACAGAAGACAAAAAACTTAAAGCCAAACCTCTATGGGAAATGAAGAAAACGGAGAACGATTCAGAGTTGATAATTTGTGGTGGATGTGATGTGCAGTTTGACAATACCTCCTTCTACAGACACAAGAAGAAACGTGTGTGCTGGAAGGAGCACAAGAATAACGATGACAATCAAACAAACAAGTGTGCTCAGTGTGGCTGCAAGTTCCCATGTCTGATGGCCTTGTTTAAACACAACTGTAGTCGCTCACAGGAACCTACGATGCCACAATCGTGTCTTGAAGAGCAGATGGCGGAGGTACTAAGAGACAGCGTGGAGGACAATCCCAACTTGTCACCTAAGAAAATGTCCAGAGACGAGTCTGTGAGGAGAATGTCACTAGTGGACGATTCAGTCAGCCTAGTCAGTGACGAGACCTTTGACATCTCACAGTACCACGGCAAGTACTTTAAGCCCAGCAGTGATAACCAGAGGAATAAGAAGTATTCTGAAATATTCAAAGAAATCAAACAACAAAGAAAAAAAAGTATGCTCAAAGTGAAAATCACTAAAGAACTGGTGAGTGCCAAAGTTAGCCTTCGCAAGCCTCGGCCAAAAATTACTATTGCTCCAAAGAAAAAACTAATGAAATGGAAAAAGAAACTAATTTTTGAATGGTTAGTACTTGGGGGGGGAGAGAATGTAATATTTTAACACTGCTAGTAGTTTTAACCTATTTTAGCTTAAATACTTTAAAATATGGAATTTGTTTAATTTCATCAAAATGATACTAGGGTCGTTGTAGCTAACAAAATACCTTAACCATTATAGAACCATACATAGGAACTAAAGAAACTCAGGCTAGGAACTAAGGTACAATGTGTAAATACTATCTGAGTTTCTTATAATGTTATTATACTTTTATCGAAAACTCCCCTGTATGTGTAACAATAATTTGTCAATGATGAGGTAGATTTAAATTAAACTAATTAAACTTTTCAATTAAAAGGCAATCTTGCATAGTGTAATAATAGAAATTAAGTGTGTAAATGTGTGAAATAGGTTTAGTAAATACAAAAATTTTTTTATCAAAAAAATCTATCAGTTTTATAAAAGACTTAGCCAAAATGGATCCTCTTTGCAGCTAAGTAAGATATATAGATCGCTAAAGCTTGTCATTCATCTTGAAAGCTGATATTTTACCCTTAAAAGACCATTTAATCTTAACGACATTATACTTCATCTACGTATAATCACTGGCTAGAAGACTTTCTATCATAACTGTGTGGGACTCGTTTTTAAACTTTTCCTACATCGCTTTATATTTATAGATTTAACAGTTTATCCAAAGAAAAATTGTAGTTAAATATTTTAAAAACTGGTGGCTTAAACAAATTTACCAAAATATGTTGGTAAAAATTAAAGAAAACTGTGGTATCTTTGATCATTTCACAAGTATTTAATGTAAATCAATACTTGCATAAAATCATATTTGTATGGTATAATAATGTTTGTTTGTGTGTGAATGCATCACACCATATTATGATCATGGTACGTCTGGGATGTCATGTCAGGTGATATTTTAAATTCCCATTGGCTGCCACGACCATACCCGGTATGTTCAGTCAGTGTATTAAACACCCTTTCCACTACTCCATTTCCCAGTCTGTCCGAATCGATGGTCACACCACATGGTTTGGTCCACGCAGCCTTGTTTTTTTAACGTTAACTTTGTATATATTATACTATTCCCGAGCATAAACAAGTCTCCCGTCAAGTTAAGACTTAGTCGGAAAAGTGACAACGTAACAAAAATTTCTTGAAATATTTTAAATGTAACTTTTTTTAAACTGCAGATTTAAGAGTACAACATTAATTTATTTCATCGACCTGAGGGATTTTTTTGTTTTTGTAATAGTATTTTCCCCTCAACTTGAATTAATATCAATGGACTTGTAGATGTGTTTTCCATGATACAGTTTTAGATGGTTAAAGTCAATTAATACCGTCCCTAGTTATTTGGTAGTTAAGATAGAATGTCTTAACTGTATTCGTTTTATTTAAGATTTAAGCAAATGTAAATAATTTTCACACCAAAGTTACAAATAAAACAATGTTTTTACTACGAATAGGTTCTTGCACTTATAATCAATGTAATTAAATTCAATTCCAAACCAAAGAATGTTGTAAAGTCAAAATATATATGAAAAACAAACAAAATTGTTGCTGTACAAGTAAACTTAGAGTTTCATAATTTGTTATCGCGATATTTTAGTTCATTTTTTTCCAGAAATAATACCTTAAAAGGTCAGAAGGGTTCGGTCATTGCTGTATATTTCCTTTTAATTGTGTAAAATGTGGTTTCAGTCAGATTATATCAATTTGTAGTAGTGTAAGGCAATATTTGATTAGTTAAAAGGCCTCCTGTTTCATAACATAATATACAATATCCGTCAGGCTGAATCCAACAGTAATTCAAGTGGATGGAAGCTGATTGAAAATGAAGGTTTGTCAATCATTTTATTAGTTTTATTCGGAATTGGAAAATTTGGATGTTCATTTACAGCCATTCGGGGCACAGTCTCGTTATATTTATTTGTTGGTCCTAATTTGACTCCAATCACTAATACCTTTCTTTATTCATTTAGTTTCTAGCCAAGAATAGTTTTTCACATTACTTAAGAGGTCTAGAGGGAGTCGCGGCATTATAACTTACATTAAATCCATTGGTGATTGGCGGGATTTGAACACAGGACCTTGGAGACCAAAATCCCGCGCTCTAGCGCTAGACGACCTTGATATATGTAATTTAGTACAATAAATAAATAAACTAAATATAGCAGTTAAATGGAAATTATTAAATGTCATTGGTAATTTATAGAATCTATTTTGCGGTTATGTATTACGCGGTATTTTATGTAAAATTCCGTATTATTTTTTAAATTGTAGCTTACACACCTTAACATCAACGATCCTTGAAAACTAAAGACATACTGTGGATGACTACAATTTTGTCATTTCATTATTGGAAATGGAGCATTCTCCGTATTTTCCCATACAAATTTGCAAATATTCACTGTTACATGAATGGCAAACAAACACATGCCTACACACACATTTTTACCCGTAAGACTTTCCTTTTGGCATTTGAATCTGTTTTTGTTTAGTGGACAATTATTATGGCATTCGTTAAAAACTTTATAGTTTTATATCATAAGTATAGAACACAATAACGATGGTATTATTGTTCCTAGAAATGTATTGCTTTGTTTTTATTCAATAAATTGAACATAATAGTTCAGTGGTAGAGTCTTAGGTTTATAAGCCGGAGTTAACTGGTTCAAACCTCTCTGATTGCAGTATATTATCAATAGACCTTCTGCTCATGGACCTTATCCACCAGAAATAAATACTATACAATATATTATAATTTTTACAGTTTTCAAATCAGTTTCAGCACAAGGTAACTGATTTGAATTTTAATATTGATTCTTTACTTTAGCTACTGGTTATAAAGATCGGAATTGATCAGTCTATTAAAAAGTTCCAAGTAATTTAAGAATCAAGGTTCCCAAGCAGTCTTACTCTTTGAATATTTGTACAAATCGGATACATATAGTGTCACACTTACCCCTTCTTTCTCGATGCTCTTCATTGGATCATCACCTACAACATAAAAATTTACATAAAGAAACTACTTCAAGTAATTCAGTATAATCATACAGTATCACAAACATCAACATAAATACAAAGATAACTTTTAATAATATTTTTTACCATTTAATATCTACCAAAAGGACGTGAAAACATTAAACATTTTTGAAGAACACGGATTAATTCAATCAGAGCATAGGCCTATATATTTTTTGTATGTTTTAAATCTTAGGCCATACATATTTTTTTGTTTTTTGTAGGCACGAATTTAGAATTTTAGTAGTGTTCATAGTGCACAATTTCTATACCAGACCTTAATGATATATGATTCGGTAACCTTTATGTTAAGTAAAACTTCAGTTAGAATATGGTGCTTTTGTTATGTATGCTGAAATACTGTTCTGTAATTTAATTCAATCAGATGTTTTCATAAAAACAATGTTTGTTTACTTGTTACTTTTGTTATAAATGTTTGACAATAAAAGATTCTTCATTCATATATTTTATTCTATTTTAAATGTAATAACGTTACATAATGGCGCTGCACGGACATGAGGAATATGACAATGACGACACATCATCTACATTAACAGTGGAACAACCTACTACACATAGTTTAACTCATTTCAAGTTCGAGAAGTTTGATGCTACCAAAGAAACATGGAAGTACTACTACCAAAGGTTTGAGTTGGAAATAATTGTTTGTGGATTACAACACAATCAAGAAGCTAAAAGAATTTTACTTCTGAAATGGATTGGTGCTGAACATTATAGAATTGTGGTTGATAACTTTTATCCAACACCTAATTTAACAGTAGACTACGAGGAAATTGTTGAGTTTATTTCGAATTTCTATAAACCAAAAACATCCTATTTGGCCGAAAGACTAAAATTTGGAAAAATCGTGAAGAACAAAGATCAATCTATACGCATATTTGTAAACAATTTGAGAGCTGGTGCCACGGAATGTGAGTTTAAAGATACACTTGATGAAAGACTGTGAGACCAGTTCTTATTGGGCTTAAATGATCCTAAAATGCAAGAAGTGCTCATCAGAAAACATCCTGAGGAAAAAGCAAGACTTGTCGACATCGTTAAAGACGCCTACCTCATGGAAATGGCACATTCTCAACAACAACAAATAGAAACACTTGGGACATTTTCATGTGACGCACAGGTAAATAAGGTAGGGGCTACACGAACTACTAACAAAAGGGACAGTACTAGAATCAACTTGAATCCTGAGTCACAGTGTTTGAGGTGTGGGTTAGCAAAACATAAAACAGGTGAGTATTGCAAGGCAATGAATATTCAATGTAGAGCTTGTGGGAAAATGGGGCATTTTGAACGAGTTTGTCTGAAATCCAATAATGTCGTCATTGAGAAAAATCTTTCAAGACGTTATGTCAAACAAATTGATAAGTTTGCTGGAATGAGTGATTATAGTGGAAATGTAGACTTTTTCCGTCAAAATAATGACGGATGTCCTGACATATCTGATGAGCTAGGAGCTGAGCTTCCCGGTTTGGTAAAGAACATAAGTCAAATTAATAATGTAGAGAAATTTTGTTACGTTGTTCATTTAACAATAAATAGGGTTCCAATAACGATGGAATATGACACTGCTGCTGCAAGAACTATAATTAGTAAATCTACGTGGAAACAAATTGGTGAACCGGCACTGACTCCTACGGAGGAGCTGGGTGCTTATCCGTCAATTAGGATACCTATGCTCGGCGAGACTAAGGTCGCTGTTTCGTTAGGTTCAACTACTTTGCAATTAAGTGTTGCTGTCACTGACAGTGTTTCAGTGACACCTTTGTTTGGTAAAGATTGGATTGTAGCATTTAATCTAGATCCTAACTGTGAACATGTATGTAAGCAAAATTCTTATAGCGTCAATCATATTAACACGGACATTATAGACAAAGAGGGGGAGAAACGTAAGATATATAAAGAATTCAAAGACATAATTACCAATAACCTAGGAACAGTGAAAAATTTCAAAGCTAAGGTTAGAGTAGCTAATGATGTGCAATTGCCAATACACAAACCGAGACCTGTTCCGTTCGCATTACACAGTGCAACTAGCAAGGAACTAGATCGTTTAGTGTCCTCAGGGGTCTTAGAACCTGTGGATCCGGCTACGACTCCGATCCTTTGTGCTTCTCCTTAAGTTGTTGTACCGAAGTCTAATGGTGAGGTACGATTATGTGCAGATTTCAAGGTATCAATCAACCCTCATTTAATCAATGACGAATACTGCATCCCTACGTTTGAAGAAACAGTGCTTAAGTTGAATTGTTCAAAATTCTTTTCAGTTATTGATTTGAAGGATGCGTATCTACAGATTCCAGTGGACGAAGAATCAAAAAAATATCTAGTAGTAGCGACACATAAAGGATATTTTACCTTCAATCGATTACCTTTTGGCATTAAGACTGCACCTAAGATTTTTCAAAAGCTGATGGACCAATTATTAGTTGGTACCGATGATTGTGCGTGGTATTTTGACGACATATGTGTGGGCGGTAGAAGTGGACCAGAACACATTGATAGGCTCAAAACAGTTTTAAATATATTGAGGAGAGCAGGACTATGCACGCGTGAAGATAAACTACAGCTTTTCAAACAAAGTGTGACTTATCTTGGGCACAAAATTAGTGCTCTGGGTATTCAGCCTGTTGAAGATCGTGTAGAAGCTATCAAGAAACAACCCCCACCAAAGAACGTTTCTGAGCTTAGATCATTTCTTGGATCTGTGAATTACTATTCAAGATTTATTCCAAATTTGCAATCTCTTTGTTTTCCTTTACACAGACTTTTGCACAAGAACTCAACTTGGGTCTGGAATAGTGACTGTGAGGACGCATTCAACCATATTAAGAGCAACATTTCAAACAATATGGTACTTGTACATTATGATCCTAAACTTCCACTTATCCTTGCAACAGATGCTTGCAATATTGGATTAGGAGCAGTTCTCCTTCATCGTTGTCCTGATGGCAGTCAGAAACCAATTGCAGCCGCTTCAAGAACATTAAATTCAGCAGAACAGAACTATTCTTCTATAGATAAGGAAGCACTGGCCATTATCTTTGGTGTTGAGAAATTCTACAAATATCTCTATGGTAGACATTTCACTCTTTTGTGTGATCATAAACCACTTGAACGAATCTTTGGGGCAAAGCAGCCTGTACCTAAACATGCCGCTTCCAGACTTGCAAAATGGGCTATTATCCTCAGTGGATACGACTACGATATAAACTACAGGGCTGGAAAAGATAATGTTCTGGCAGATTGTCTAAGTAGATTACCTTTAGAAGGAGGAACAAATATTGATACGTATCAGACGCTTGGTGAAGTAAACCAAGTAAGATCTATGAGAATTGAAGATTTGCCACTTACAAAACGTACGATTCAAGATAACACTCACAGAGATGATGAACTGAAACACATTATATCCTATTGTGTCAGGGGATGGCCCGATCGAAGTTCAATTCCGGACAATTTGAAGATATTCTATGACAAGAGACATGAACTATCTTATGAAGAGGGGATTTTATTGTGGTAAGAAAGAATATTAATTCCCAAGTCCCTTAGAGGAGACGTTCTTAGTTATCTCCACGTTTCACACCCAGGAATAGTTGCCATGCGCTCTTTGGCGAAGTTGTATGTGTACTGGCCAAAAATAGATGATGACATTGAAAACTTAGTGAAAACTTGTACAAGATGCCAAACATTCAGGAAAAATGATTTGGAAACGCCACTCAATTCATGGAATATACCGGAAAATGCTTGGGAAAGATTACATATTGATTTCAAAGGACCTTTTGACGGATACATGTGGTTAGTGGTAATAGACGCATATTCTCGATGGTTGGAAATATTTCCAATGAAAAACGCTACAAGCAACACTGTGATAAGACGACTTCGTGAACTTTTCTGTAGATATGGACTTGTGAAACAAATTGTTACTGACAATGGAAATCAGTTTGTCTCAGAAGAATTTAGAGAGTTTTGCCGCAATAATAACGTGATTCACATCAGAACCACTCCTTACCACAGTCGTTCCAATGGTTGTGTTGAACGAGTAATTCAGACGTTTCAAAACAAGTATCTCATGATTGACATAAATGATCACGAGCAAAGACTCCATACACTTTTGTTCTCATACAGGACAACTCCACATTCATCGACTGGACGGACACCAGCTGAACTTTTCCTGAAAAGAAACCCAAGAACTTTGATTGACACCCTAAGACCGGACGTGAAGGAAAAGATGAAACAGTCGCCAGAACGCCAAAAGTTTTATCATGATATCCACTCTAAACGTAAAGACTTTAATGCAGGTGATAAAGTTTGGGTGAAACGGAATCCAAATGAAAATTGGAGAGAAGGGGTAGTGCTAAGGAAAACAGCACCATTGTCATACAGAGTGAACATTGATGACAAAGAACACAGGCAGCATGCCGACCATTTAAGAACACGTCAACAAATACAGCCTGCACAACAATCTGTAACACAACAAACTTCAACACGCCAACAAATACGGCCTTTACAACTATCTTCTCAACAACAACTAACTTCACCTTCATCTGGTACTACAAACCAGAGAAAATCAAGTCGGAATATAAGAAAGCCAATGTATTACCATAATGAATATTAGTCCTCCAGGCATTTAAAGAAGGAAGGGGGAAATGTTATGTATGCTGAAATACTGTTCTGTAATTTAATTCAATCAGATGTTTTCATAAAAACGATGTTTGTTTACTTGTTACTTTTGTTATAAATGTTTGACAATAAAAGATTCTTCATTCATATATTTTATTCTATTTTAAATGTAATAACGTTACAGCTTTTTACATCAGTAAGAATATATTTTGGGCATTTATGGTTACTATTATACTAAACAGTTTTGATGACGTTTCGTTCTCTTGAAATGATCCAGTAAAAAAAATATTTCGATCTAAGTCCACATTTTCTTCCACTACTGTGAAACTTCCCCTATA